ATATATACAATGGAGAGAGATGAGTAAGGGTAAAGTGCATAACTAAGCATGTCACTTTCAGTGGGATAATCAGGAAACATATGCCTCACTGAAGAAGGGGCATTTATATAAAGAGCCTGAATGAAGTGAAAGAGCAGACCACATAAAAAATCTGGAAGCAGAACATGCCAGGCAAACGGAACAAGTTAAAAGTCCAGGAGATGGGAATGTGCTTAGCATGTTTGAGGAAAACATGTTAGTGTGTCTGCAGAGAGTGAATAAGATACATAGTTTAAATTGTGTTCGGGGAGCTAGTCCGGTAGCATAATAGGGAGTTTTATATGCCATGGTAAAGACTAGCGATTTGTTAAGGTTTATGTCTTGATGTCCCCCCAAAGCCTCATGTGGTCATGGGTGGGGACTTTTCAAAGGCACCTGGATCTTGTGTGTATGATGATCGGATTGAGGATGTGCTGTGGGATTGATTCATGTTGGGGTGCTAGGATTATGTGTGCCCTACCCTGGGTGGATAGAATATAAGGGACAGAAAGAGGGCTAATGTTGTGACTTATTGATTGCATCTTGCTGCTTTGCTGCCTTCTGTCTGCCGTGAACTATTTCTCCTCTGCAATGCCTCTCTGCCATGCAACCCTGCCTTGGAGTCTGCCAACTATAGATGAAAATCTGTAAACTGTGAGCCAAAAACACCTTTTCTCCTTTGGGTGTTGAGTATTTTGTCTCAGCAACAAAAAAAGTAACTGCAACAGGCTTTTATTGTAAATGTACTCAGAAATATACCCTAGAGCATGTTAAGAGTAAAAGTATGACATGATTTTATATATATGTGTGTGTGTGTGTGTGACTTTTTTATATTTTATTTCCTTTTATTTAACTTGAATTCAAATAGTCCCATGACATTTGTGGCTACTACATTGGACAGCATGATTCTAGGATATTCATATGTGTTGTTGGGAGATAGATGGAAAATAATATAAATATGTGGGAAATATATGCTTCACTTGTCTATTTCCTGAAACTATCATTCCTGGGGAGAAAACTCCAAGCTGAAGAAATTCTTAAGTTTCCAAGAGCCTTTGGGTTGTGTATGTCCGTTAATATTTCTATGGTTTTAGAATTCTAAATAGTGTTATTATTCTGTGTTCTAGAGACTGAGATGTCGTTTAGAATTATTACTTTGACTACCCAATGGAGAACAGACTAAGTGGGCAATAATGGAAGTAAGGAGCCTATGTTAAACCATTGCCATAGTCAGATAATGGGACCATATGTATAGCAAGGTGTTGGAAATGATATGATTTGGAATATATTTTAAAAGCAGATGTACCAAGATATCCTAATTAAGCAGTGTATTACATAAAAGGGAAAAACTCAAAAATGAATATTAAATTCTTGGCTTGAGCAGCTAGGTGGACAGTATGATCAGTTATTGAGATGAGAGCAGTATAGGACAGAGCAAATTGGGAGAATGATTAAAAGACATTGTTTTGGACATACTAAATTTGATCTTTCATCCCACTCATATAATGCTTCATGAGAGAACATGGACACAAACATGAATATACTGTGTAATTCCACATAGATGATGTTTAACAACAGGCAAGACTATTCTGGATGATAGAAGTCATAGAGTGGAAATGTTTGGAAAGCGGTACCAATCAGGAACTTCTAGGGCGCTACAGATGTTTTATGTCTTGGCCTAGGTGGATGAGTGTGTGTGTGTGTGTGTGTGTGTGTGTGTGTGTGTGTGTGTGTATGATTTGTGACTGTTAATATATATTTTCAAATTGAGATGCTTATTAGCCTGCAAGTAGGAATAGAATAAGGCAGATTGTGACACAGGAGACAAATTCAGAGCAACTAGAGAAAAAAATAAAGGGGATATAGATAGGAAAGGAGGAAGTTATATTATCATTATTTGCATGTGACTTGATCCTCTACATAGAAGACCCCCAAAACCCCACCAAAAGACTCCTAGAATTAATAACCAAATTCAGCAGCATAGCAGAATACAAAGTAAACACTCAAAAATCAGTAGTGTTCCTGTACATCAGTAAAAACTCACTGAGAGAGAAATTAGGGAAACAGTACTTTTCCAAATAGCATCAAGAAAAATGAAATACCGAGGAATTTATCTAATCAAGAAAGGTCAAGACCTCTACAATGCAAACTACAGTACTATGAAAAAGGAGATTGAAGCGGACATCAGAAAATGGAAAGATAGTCCGTGTCCTGAATAGGCAGAACTAATATGGTCAAAATGGTTGTACTTCCAAAACTGTTATTCAGATTTAATACAATCCCAGTCAAGATATCAATGACATCATTCCTCACAGAACTGGAGAAACAATCCTAAAATTCATATAGAACCAGAAGAGCCAGGGATTTAGGTCAGTGGCACTGCACCTGCCTCACAAGTGCAAGCCTGAGTTCAATCTCTGGTTCCGGAAAAAGAAAAAAAAAATATATATATATATATAACACCATATAGAACCAGAAGAAACCCACAATAGCAAGGCAAGGGGCGTCACAGTTCTGGACTTTAGGTTATACTGCAAAGCTACAGTGATTTAAAACAGTGGGGTGGGCTGGGGATTTAGCTCAGTGGTTTCAGCGCCTGCCTTGCAAGTGCAAGGTCCTGAGTTCAATCCCCGAAAAAACAAAAACAAAAACAAAAACACCAGTGTGGTAATGGGGGAGGGACACAGATAAACATACACAAAAAACAGACTTGTGGATCAGTGGAATAGAGGATGCACAAACAACTCCAGGCACACTCAGCTACTTTATCTTTGACAAAGGATAAAATATTTCCACTGGAGGAAAGACAGCCTCCTTAACAAATGATGCTGGAAAAACCAGCTATCCACATGCCAGAGATTGAGCCTCGACTCATGTCTCTCACCAGGCACTAAACCGAAATCAAAATAGATCAGAGATCTAAATACTAAAAAAGTAATCCTTAGTCTGCTGGAAGGCAAAATAGGTAAAACTCTTGAATAGATTTTCTGAGCAGAACCCTCGTTGGACAAGAAATAATACCAAAAATCAACAAATGGGATTGCATCAAATTGAAAAGATTCTCTGCATGAAAAAGGAAACCAACAACGGTGTGAAGAAATTGCCTACATAGTGGAAGTTTTTTTTCCCAACTACTATTCAAACAAAGGACTAATATCTCAAATATATAAAGAACTCATAAAATTAGCCCCCCCTAAATTTAAAGACACAATCCAAAAAGTGGGCATCTAAGGCTGGGCGTGGTGGCACATGCCTGTAATCCCAGCACTCAGAAGGCTGAGGCAGGAGGATTGCTGTGAGTTTGAGACCAGCCTGGGCTACATAGTGTTTCCAGGTCAGTCTCAACTACATAGTGAGACCCTGTCTCAAATCAAAACAAAACAGAAAACCCAAACAAAACAAAAAAATGGGCATCTAAAATGAATAGCCCCTTCCTTCTCAGATGAAGAACAAATGGCCAGTAAATACATGAAAAAATGTTCCACATTGCTGGCCATTCGAGACATGGTACATCAAACACTGAGATTCCAACTCACTCCAGAAAGAATGGCTGTCCGCAAGAAGTCAACTAATAACAAATAGTACAGAGGCTGCAGGGAAAAAGGAACCTTTCTTCCTTGTTGGTGGTGGTGTAAACTCATTAACCTCTGTGAAAATCAGTATGGTGATGCATCAGAAAAGTAAAATAGCTGGGCATGGTGGTGCACACCAAAATTCCAGCACTCGGGAGGCTGAAGCAGGAGGATTGCTGTGAGTTTGAGACCAGCCTGGGCTACATAGTGAGTTCCAGGTCAGTCTCTACTACGTAGTGAGACCCTGTCTCAAAAAATGAACAACAACAACAAAAGACTAAAACTAGAAATTCCATTTGACCCAGCTATTCCCCTAGTCATTTCTCCAAAAGAGTCAAGACATCATAGTGATACTTTGTGTACCCATTTTTATAGCTAAATCATCAAGCAGCCTATATTGTCCATCAACAGATAAATGGATGAAGAAAATATATTTATACAGAACGGGTACTACTCTGCCATAAAGAAAGATAAACTCATTTGTAGGAAAATGGATGCAACTTGACACTATAGTGTTAAGTGAAGTAAATGAGACACAAAGGCCAAAAATTGTATTTATTCTCGTAAGAGAAACATAATGTAGAAATTAAGTGCAAAGAAAAGACAATAGGGAAAAAAAAAGGAGAAAAAATTTTATTGTAATGCAGCATGGACAATGTATCTAAAGTGTAATTGTTTTATGTTTTTTGGCCTGTTAGTCTGGCTGTTAATCTCAATGAAACTTTATAAGGATTTATCAATAAATAAATGAATCTGATGCTGGCAAAAAACTTTTTTCATAAAAGGGGGTGGAATGGAAGAGGGAAAAAAAGAATCGAGGGCCGGGGATTTAGCTCAGTGGTTCCACCGCCTGCCTTGCAAGTGCAAAGACCCTAGTTCGATCCCTGGGACACCCCCCCCAAAAAAATTGAGATGTGTTATTTACCTGTACCAATTCCCCACATTGAATGTAATCATTATATGTTGTAAAAATGTACTAATAAGTTTAAAAATTAAAAAGAAAGAAAATACAGGAGAGTAGAAATAGAAGAATGATGAATGAAAATTTTGATGTCACATTTCTCTACTAATTGAAAGGAAGTTGTTTTATGTTTTGCTTCCTACAAAACCTGAAATTCTCAAGACAAGATTTGTTAAGGATATTTTCTCCTCTTTGAGGCAAGTTAGATTATTAAACGTATATTAAATGTTTCTTTGTAAATTATAAAGGCAGAGTAATTAAAATCAGTTTCTGTTTTGTTTTGAATTGTCCTCTATACTTATAATGGCAGGTTAAGTAGAACACTAAACTATGTTTTCATTTATAGATAATGCAGATTGTGAGGTTTTACTTGCTGAGAAAACTTGTCCTTCAACCTGTGAAGAAACAAAGAAAAAAGCAAGTATTAAAGTATCATAACTACATAAATCATAATTTTACTAATAAAGGATATATTTCTAAGTAACACTTCTGTAGGATTTATTTTTCAGCTATTAAAGACAGTGATTAAAAGCATTTTGTAGTTTGTGAGAAACCTATGCAGTGTATACAAGAATATATATGTTTAATGAAAGAGAATTAAAATGTACATTTTCCATTTCTCTTTGAGTAGTTGGATGTCTGTCAGTCATTAAAGTAAAAGTAAGAAGTGTGCTGTGAAGCTAAAATGCACTGTGAAGCTAAAACTGTTTTATGCTGAGAATTACTTGTGATGTTATGCTTGGAATCTGAATGCGTTTGGCATAGAATTGGGACTTTGTTTTGTACATAGAGCTGCTTTTTAAGTGGGCCTCCATTAGTTATATTGTTTCTCTATATCATTCCAATCTGAAGATTAATTGGTTTGTGTTTGTCTGGACTTATTTTATGGCTGAGAAAACTGAGGTTTAAATATTCACCAGTTTTTTTGAGTTTATGGCTGTTCTTTTTTTGATCTAAAACCAGAATCTTATATTCTTTCCATCACATTATACTGTTCATCATATAAATTAGGAAGCAATTAAAAAAGAGTGAAAATGTTAGGGAGAGCCGTTAGTAAGAATTGATAGATATTTTTGGTGAAAAGTTATGATGGCTTTGATCATGGTATGAACTTTGTAGGAGAAGTGGAAAGATATGCTTAGATTCAAGAAACTTTTGCCTGTAGACTTAATGAGTTGATCTAGAGGACAAAGGAGTGAGAAGTATTAAGACTTCTAATTTTCTGTCTTGAGCAGCTTGAATGGGCAGAAATGCTAGTGAATGTGGTAGGACAGACAGTATACTGATACATGAAGATGGAAACTTTGACAGCCAATGGCCTTTTTACTAATATGCTAATAACTTCAGTGGAAAAAGTAGATAATACACAAGAAATAGTAGATACTGATAGTAGAGAAGTGGAAGATCTAATAAACAATAAGAAATGCCAGAATTTGAAAACACTGTGATCAAAATGAAGAATATCCTTGATGGACTTAATAGTAGACCAGACACAGCCAAAGAAAGAATCTGTGAGCTTAAAACATGACAAAAGATACTTCCAAACCTCAAAAGCAAAAAAAAAAAAGTAAAAATAAAATTGCAAATATCCAGAATGGAAAATCCAAGAACTGTGAGATAAAAACAAAATATGTAATGTATGCATAATAAAAATAATGGAGATATTGTGTGTGCTGGGTAATCTTGGGAAGCTGAATAAGAAGATCACAAGTTTGAACCCAGCCTGGGAAACTTAATGATTTAGAAAGACCCTGTCTTAAAATTTAAGAAAAAAATTTAAAAGGGCTGAAGATGTAGCTCAGTACAAAGGCCCTGGGTTCAATTTCCAGTACAACAAACAAACAAATAGAAGCCAGTAACAAATTTAAAGGTTAATGGATATAGTAGTGAATTTTTGGATATAACACCAAAGAGACAATCTATGAAAAAAATAATTGATAAAGGGTTTCATTAAAATTTTTAAAAAAGGACCAGGGATTTAGTTCAGTGGTGCCTAGAGAGCTACTTGAACTTGCCCTACATTTTACTTCTTTAGTCTAGAGCAATTAAAAAATCTCATCCATACTTCCTATATTCTCTTTTCTATACTTCTCACTGTCCTTGTCCTGCTTCCATGCAGTCTGTCTTAGTTTCAATCTCCATCAATTTCAACCTCCCTGCCCTGCCTTTCTTTTTCTCTGTCTTTTCTCACCCTTCTGCCTCACCTCCTTCTTTCTCTTTCTTTCTATACAAATGAAGCATTTGACAATTTAATTGTGCTACCTCTTGCATTGATGCCATTTCTATGCTATTGTATGTTTTGCCTGTTCTCAAAAATTATGCTCATGGTAGATGATTCTTACTGAATATAGCTAGCTCTAACATTCCCTAGGATTCTGATAGTGGCAGAGATTTGGAGGAATTGGAATACCTCGTGTGTCCTGTTGGGAATGTGAAATGTATAGCCACTTTGGAAAACAGTTTGACATGGACCCAGAAATTTTACTATGAGTTGTATCCCCAAGAGAAATAGAAACATACATCATCACAGAAACTTTTACATGAATACTCACAGCAGCATTATTCATAATACCCAAAAGTAGAAACAACACAAGTGCCAATCTACTAATGAATAGATAAATAAAATGTAGCATATTTATCCAATGAAATATTATTTGGCAATAAAAGTAAATGAAGCACTGATATTTGTTACAACATGGATGAACGGTGAAAATAGCCTATTATATATCTGAGATTCTATCTTCTCATTCTTTTATTCTGTTGCATACACTTTCAATGGAGTGTTTAATCTCCTGGATATCTGTTTGAATCTGTTTTATGGATTCCATTTCTTTCCTATGTTGGGCATTCATTGTTTCCATTTCTTTCTTATGCTGGGCCTTCATGGCTTCTATCATGGTCTTGAGCTCATTTATTTTTTTCTCAGTTTCTATTCTAGAGTCTCAAATCATGACTTTCATTTTGCTCACCATCTCTATGGTTATCTGGGAAATTCTGTTTTGATGTTTTCTAGAGCCTGATTGATCTGTTTTGTTACTCCCTGTGCCATGAGTTCAGGGTGTCCTGGTGGTTCACTATTAGACTTTTCATCCTCATTTGCCCTACTGTTTGCCGTTGGTGAACTGGAAGTCTGTCTTTGTGTCTTTCTTAAGTGTTTTCTCATTTTTATTTTTGTTGTTGGGTTGCCCTTGGTTTAATTTTTGTGTTATTACTTAAATCTTCCTGATATAGTTGTGCTTTAGCTTTTGAGTCTCTAATGACTCATAGAGATTCTCATTTTCATGATATCAGAGAAAACAACTTATTAAATCAATCACAATCCTTTATCCCAATTGATACAATCAGCAACACAATAGGATCAAGCACAACTTGCACATTGACCACTTGTGGTAGTCATTAATCTATCACCTTTAAACCATGTGAATTAAATTAAAATCAAGAAGCACCCAAAATATGTTTGCAGTGAATAAACTTTTCAGTATAGCATCTTTACCTTTTCAGATGGGGACTTAGAGTTAGAATGAGAGGAGTAGATAAGTAAAAGAATTGGAGAAGGTTTCAGGTGAAGCCAGAGGACATAGAATGACCATACAATCTTTAAGAAACTGTTAAATTCAAAAGGGACAGACAGAGTGCAAGAATAAGGACCAGAATATATCCCCTTAACAGTAGTAGGGGCTCACTCTCCCTTGAAACTATTGACCTATGAGTGAGGTAAAATAAGAGAAGAAAAGAACGTAAAGAAAAGAGAAAAAAATGATTAAAAAAAAAAGAAATCTGAGAGCCAGGCATGGTGGTGCATGCCTGTAATCCCAGCACTCAGGAGGCTAAGGCAGGAGAATAGCTGTGAGTTCAAGACCAGCCTGGGTTACGTAGTGAGTTCTAGGTGAGTCTCAAATGCATAGTAAGACCCTGTCTCAACCTCCCCCCGCAAAAAAAAAAAAAAAAAAAAAAAAAAAAAAAAAAACTACTGAGTTAGGGAAGGAGCAGGAACAGAAAGGGAGATGAGGGATAATATGGTGGAGCAAAAGACTGAGTTGAAGAAAGAAGACAGAAAAAAGAAAGAATTTTCAGAGTGGAATGAGGAAAAGAAAGAAAAAAATGAATTTAAAGGGCCTCTTTTAGACTGTATCTCTGCTGTCATAATATACAACATGTGCAGCCATGAGCAGAACCAGGTCCCCTGATCTCAGCTAGCCAATGGCAGACCCCAGTGACTCAGACTGACCTCAGGCTGCAAGGCCCAGAGTGAGTTCCCCGACCTCCTGCAGGGTTGAGCTCCACACAGTTCTAGTACAGGTTTCCCCGGCCTTTTCTTTAAAGATGTTCAAAGTTGGGAGCTCAGAAAAATACCCTTTATGATCACCTGTGCCTCTGCAGAGTGGGTCCAAGGACTGGTGCAGTGAGGAGTTCTGAGAGCGGGGGTGGATTGGGGGGTGTTTCAGGGGCGCCCGCTTGGCTACCTTCCTTGCTGGAGTTGGTGGTGGCACAGGCAGGGGAGGGCGCAGCTACCCGGTCCCGCTGATTGGGCCCAAGCAGGCTGGAGGGAGCAATAAAAACTATTTTTTAAAAAAACACAAGAGAATTTAGTTCAGTGGTTCTGCCGCCTGCCTCACAAGTACATGATCCGGAGTTCGATTCTTGGAAACAAGACAAAACAAAACCATAAAACTTTCCTACATTATTATGTAGGAAACAGAAATCCTTGAGATGTAAAGAGGCACAGTTGCAGAATACAAACATAGGAGTTGGCCTTTAAAAGGGCGCCGATATTTCCACTGTGGTGGATTTGTAGGTTTAGTGGTAACAGGGCTGACTTAATACCTGGAAAGACCACATTTTTCATTTCATTTAATGCTCTGTCACTGTCACCATCTTGAAATTTTTAATTGCTTAACCAGGGCCTCACATTTTGCCTTGAGTGGTGGCATCCTGTTTGGTGGTAACTAGTATTGCAGGGTAGTGTGAGGAAGATTGTGAGCCAGAAGGAGCAGAGGAAGGAAGGCAGGAGGTTTAAAGCAAATAGGGTGGAAATTGTACAGTGATGAGATGTTAGAAAAGTATAGCAGAGTTTGCCCATGCCTTTTTTTTTTCAGTTGGGGTTGCATTAGTATGTAGATTAAACAATTTTCCCCAAAATGCATTTGCACTCAAGGTCCAGAGTAGATAGATGGATGCCAGGGCTCATCTAAGGTTGAAGACTTGTCAGATATCTGTAGTGGAAGGAAAGAGATATAAGAATAATTATAAAGTAGTTAAGGAAGAAAGAAGACAAGAGAAGGCCAGCAGGTGAAGATAAAATACTATCAGTGAACTGGAAATTTTAAGGAGAAGGAAATTTATTACATGAAGACACTTTTTTTTTTTTTTTTTTTTGAGACGGGTCTCACTATGTAGTTGAGGCTGACCTCGAACTCACTTGTAGACCAGGCTGGTCTCGAACTCACAGTGATCTTCCTGCCTCAGCCTCCCAAGTGCTGGGATTATAGGCATGCGTCACCACTCTGGCTCATGAAGACACTTTTAACAAGGATTGCAAAGATATTTGAATTTGTGATTCTCTAGTTTCTGTTGACAGTATAGCCTGGGGTTTGGTGATGAACTGAATGAAGTCCATGAGAGGGAAAGAAATGATAGGCCATTTGGATATACAATCCAGTTGGTTGCTTAAATTCTTTAGAATGATTGCAGAAGTGAGAAAAAATCTTCAGGGAAAGAAAGATGTCAGTTAAGGCTATTGCATTTTTACTTCTGGCTCAGTACTATGCTTTATTCAGTGCCTTAGAATATGCTACACCTCTCCTAATTTTTTTTTTTTTGTACTGGGGCTTGAACTCAGGACCTTGTGCTTACGAAGCAGGTGCGGTGCTGCTAAGCTAAATTCCCAGCCCTCCTATCCTACTTTCTTCCCCTTTTCTGTTTTTATACTCCCAACTCTAATTGAAAATCCTGTCACTTATTCAGGACCCAACTCAAATTTTACCTCTTTAATTTGTTGGTACTGATAATCGAGTTCAGGGCCTTGTGCTTGCCACGCAGGCCCTTCTCTGCTGGGTTACATCCCTGGCCCCTTTACCTCTTTACTTACACTTAATGTATTTAAACTTTGTAAAGGACATTTTGAAAGCAGATAACAAGTTACATAATGTAGGATAGGCAGTCACTGAACAGTCTGTAGTTGTTTATTTTTAAAATTAGTGCATGTTTACAGTTCATAGTGTTTACTTTCCTTGTGGAAAATTGGTACATGCATATAACACATCTTTTTTTTTTTTTTTTTTTGGTCCCGGGGATTGAACTCGGGTCCTTGCACTTGCAAGGCAGGCCACCGAACCGCTGAGCTAAATCCCCGGCCCTGTATAACACATCTTAATTCCTTTTTTCATTCCCCTTCCCTTCCATATTCCCTCTCTCCATCTCTCTCTCTCTCTTTTTTTTTTTTTAGTACCGGGGATCAAACTCGGGCCCTTGTGCTTGCAAGGCAGGTAGTGGAACCACTGAGCTAAATCCCTGGCCCCTCTCTCCATCTCTTGATCCCTTCCTGTTTGAGAAACATCTATGTCCCTTCTTCATGATATCTATCTTTAATCTGCTCCTTAATTTTATTTTAGATTTCTCATGTAGTAAGTAAAGCAATGTACTTTGTAATGTTGCAGTTTCCTGATGCTAAGAGTACATTTGGTTTATTAAACCAGATTACTGTATAGTAAAGACAATTATAGATATATTCAGTATTTTCCTTAAAATTTAAATTTAATTATCGGTAAGCCGATCTTGCTATTGTTTATTTTCTTTTCATGGGATATTTGGGAGATGTACCTTCAATGTGGTAGGAAAATTTTTTGAGCTGAACATTTCAAGCTATTTTTTCTTTCGAATACTTTTTTTAAACCCTTGGTTCCTTATACTAGGTATACAGAATCACAGATGCCCATATCACACTTTTCTAATGCACATATGTACGTTAGCATAATAGTAGCAACTGTGCATCTCAGTAACTGTGCTGGGGGAATGCAGGAAACAATCTTTATGTGCACCTATTTGATATGACAAACAGCAAGGAGTAGACCCATGTGTAAACTGTAAATGGGTGAGTTTTGCTCACATTATGTACCATGTTACATTTTTGTGTATTTATAATTTTTATGAAATGTTTGCTTTTGATTTTTCTTATAGAACTAGCCTAATTCAGTACAATGTTGCTTGGAAATCCACTTTTCCAACATTAGGAGGAGTTCGAAAGTGAGTCAAGAGATATGGCAGATAGAGAAGTACAGAATGAAAACCTTGATTCAGGTGGGGAAGAAAACAATAATGTCAATAAATATTTGACTGGTCAAAATGCTACAAAATGATAATGTATACCTGAACGATCCAAGGCTAGAACTAGGTCAGAAAATGTTATTAAGTTCTTGACGTGGATGAAAGTTATTGAACAGAATGCCAACGCTGCAATGCAATATTGGGAATTATTTGTAATAGACAACATCTTAGAAGCTCTTTGAATTACATTAATAATGAAATACAAGAAAACATTCTACAGGCATCAATAGTAATACTCTCACTTTTTTTGGGAGGTGCTGGGCCCTCAAACTTAGGACCTTACACTTATGAGGCAGGCGGCGACACCACAGAGCTAAATCCCCAGCTCTCATAGTAATACTCAAAAATATATTTATCATGGCACCTCACTATCTGAACTAAAAGCCTTCAAAGCAGGACTTAACATTCTAATCATCAGAATCTAGAGGATTTATGGAGAAGTGACATTTGTAATGCTGCAAGTTTTAGAACAATAATGATGCTCAAGAGCTTTGGTTTTCTTTAAAATTGCCTAGGTTTTGATGACAGAAAGTCCTGCCAAGAAAGAAAAAAATACAATAGATTGGCTGCTATTTGCTTATTTGTTGAAAGCTTCATTTTGAACCATCAAGTAGTTTATACAGTGTGTGAATACATGACAATTGATAAACAATTTGTATAATTTGGTGGTTGTTGAAGGTTTCGGCAGTATATGCCAAGTAAACCTTCTAAATATGGTATAAAAATATATCTTCTGATAGATGGGAAGACATTTTATACCTTGAATTTAGAAATTTATCCTGGAACTCAGCCACCAAATCTTTTTTCCTGTAGTAATACACTGTACGACTTTGTGAACAGGCTTGTTGTACCTATTTCAAAAAGTAACCCAAATGTCACATTTTACAATTGATTCATGAATTACCCATTGATGTTACATTTGCTAAAAGAACCAGCTGACCAGCACAGGAGCTATTTGCAGGAACAAAGCTGAAATTCCTGAAAATATGTTGCAAGTTCACAACAGAGAAAGTATAGTACAATCTTTGGATTTCAGAAAGATATAACATTGGCCTCCTATATGGCAAAAAGAAACAATAATATTGATACTGTCAGTATTACATCATGGTGATAGGATTGATAGGCTGGATATGGCGGTTGTAAACAGCTCTGTAATCCCAGCACTCCAGAGGCCGAGTCAGGAGGATCCTGTAATTGCAAGAGCAGCCTGTGCTACACAGTGAGTTCCAGGCAAGCTTGCACTACATTATGGTAAAGAAAATCAAAGTAATAATGACACTGGCAATGTTACACCATGAGGATAAGCTTGACAGTGAGGCCAAGCAAGGTAATGAACACTTGTAATCTCAGCACGGGTTAGCCTATGCTACGTAATGAATTCAAGGATAGCCTGGACTAGTAAAACCCTATCTCAGAACACACAAACAAGCAAAGATTGGTAGTGAATCCTCAACACAAGTGAAGCCAGAAATGGTCACATTTTAGAACAAAATGAAAAGTGGGGTCAATGTTGTTAACAAGTTGTGCCCCAACTACAACGTCACTTGAAACGCAAATCGTTGGCCAATGGTTGTGTTTTAGTCGATCCTAATCGTATCTGGCATAAATAGTTTCATAGTTCACGAAGAAAATAATAAGCACAAAATATCACAGAGAAGTTTTCTTAGAGAATTGGGCTGGAATTGATAAATGACCAATTACAATAGAGGAAGAACAGTATGTATCTGCCCAAAGAACTCCTCAAAAGAATTCCATAGCAGACCAGTGAACAAACAGGTGAAACATCACAAACCTCCTAAGCAAACAGGAAGACCAGCAAGGTGTCAACTACGTCCTACCAAAGAAGACAGGAAAACAACACGTGTGCTGTCAGTGTAAGCGATACCTATGTATGGAACGTGCTGCTCTCATGTGAAAACTGCCTTAGTTTGATTATCGAAGTAAAGATTGTGTTTGTGGTAGAGTTTTCTTTGTATTTTCATTGTAGTTCATGTAGGAACTTATTTCTGTTATTTTTTAGATTTACTAAGCAAACAGTTGATGTAGAAAATGTTGATGTTTATTCTAGTTACTTTTTTTTTTTGGTACTGGGATTGAACTCGGGACTTTGTGCTTGAGAGGCAGGCAGCGGAACCACTGAGCTAAATCCCTCGCCCTGTTGATGCTTATTCTAAACACTCAGTATATATGTGGTGTTTTATCTTATTGATATTTCATTTTCCTGCTAAGTGGACATTGTGTAATGTAATAGGAAGCTCTTGACAAAAGAGAACAAGAGTGGTGACAAGTGTGATTGCCAATCAGAAAAGGAAAGTTAAGCACACGTGCTGTCAGTGTGAGTGAGACTTGTGTATGGAGCATGTTGTTGTCATGTCTGCAGATTGCTGTAGGTGTGATAGTTGAAGCAAAGACTATTTCCATGATAGTTTTGTTTGTATTTTCATTGTCTTTCACATAGGAATTTATTTCTGCTATTACATTTTTGAGCTTGTAAACAGAGAAAGAGTTGATGTTGAAAATGTTGATATTTATTCTGCACACTCGTAACATATTAAATATTTTATTTTATTGTTGTTATTTTCCTGTTAAGTACATGCTGTTTAATATAGCAGAACTCATAAAATTAAAATTAATAATCCATCAGTAGAAATGCTTCTAAAAAATAAGCATGGGCAATTGCACACCCCCATAAAGCACTTTTTCTAAAAGTTTGCTGTGATGCATGTGTAGTATAGAACACATTATTTTTTCCTAGGAAATCATTTGTCTTTGAGTTTAACTTTTTTCAATTTGAGGATTAATAGAACATTTGAGAAGTAATAGAAATGTTTTTACTGCACTGTGAAATGTATTTCATGATTGCAATTTTGTTCCAGCCTGAAAAAGACTTAGAAGATGGAAATACAAATATTCACGCAAAATTAAATCATCTTGCACAGATGGACACTGTGTCATCCCACCATAGGCTTGCTTTTGAGAGCAGTGCACCTAGCTCAGTTACTAGAGTTCTGCTGCCTCAGCCCCTGCCACCTGCATTGGTGAGTGCTTATCATTTATTAACTCTAATTCTCAAAAAGACTATAAAAATGTACTGATCAGGAAGATTTAGAAATGCACATTTTTAAACAAATCTAGGAAAAATACAGGGGACCTTTATACTTATGGCTATATACAGACTGATACTTTTTATTTATTTACTTTTTTTTTTTTTTTTTTTTTTTTTTTTTTGGTGTTTTGAGACAGGGTCTCACTATGTAGTTGAGACTGACCTGGAACTCACTAAGTAGCCCAGACTGGTCTCCAACTCACATTGATCCTCCTGCCTCAGCCTCCCAAGTGCTGGGATTACAGGTGTGTGCCACCACGCCTGGCTCTATTTATTTACTTTTATTTTAAAATTTTATTAGCACTGTTTGCAGTACACGGTGTTTACATTCCTTGTACTAAGTACATATACACAGCACATCTTAATTCTTTTTTTATCCCCTTGTCCTTCCTCTTGATTCTTTCTCATCTGAAAAAAATCTACCTCCTTCCTCTTATCTATATTTTGTTTTACTCTTTTTAATTTGTGATATTTTAAAAATTTAACTGACCATTGATGGTTGGGTTACTGGGACCACTGGCAAGGAGATACTGAGACAGATTAAGAGTTCATGTGGTTTATCGGAGTGGATAACACCAGAGAAAAGATGACAGAGAGGAAGCAGGACTGAGCAGATATAACCTCTGTCCTCAGTGCAAATCTAACAGAAGCTCTTCTAAGGAGGAATTCTAGAGTAAAGACTTACCTGTCACAAAAGTCTGTAAGGGACTGCTGTGGCTGGACATTGGAGGAGGCTGCCTGAGAAGACTGGAAAACTTGAAAGCTGAAGCAGACCCTAAAGATGTTGCAGCTGGGCAGTATCAGCTAACTGTACTCCTTGCAGCAAACACCTGGTTCTTCACTCAAGATCTGAGTAGATCACCAAGGCTGCCACAGTGGTAATAATAATAGCTGTCATTGAGTATCTCCAGACACCACAGGTTCTATTTACATATATTATTTGTAATCCTTGCTCACTAATCCCTAAGGGTAAAATAATCCCCCATTGTTCAGATGAAGAAATTAAAAGATTATATGGCTAATAAATTAAGAACCAACATATTCAGTGTACCAGGTAAATATAACCTTAAATTTTTTGATAAAATTTTTTCTAATCATCTGTTCTATGTTGTTTTGCCAACAACAAGAGAACAAGAGTTTAACAGAAGAAAAACAAATGAATGAAAGGAAATAAGAAACCTGACAAACGTTCCTATAATGTTCAAGTTTTATCTTTGAGTTTGGGTTCCAGACTTCACATAGTATAATAAATGCCTATTCAAAAGAAAAAATGGCTTAGAGCCTGCATGGAATCATGCAACTAAATGTTGATTTATGTGAACTGCCATCATCTCTTCTCCCCTCTCCCCTTCCTTCCACTCCCATCTTTTCCCTTTTCTTTTCTTCTACCTGGCCTTACAAGCTAAGCCTCCAATTTTTAAGAACAAAAGTGTGGGACCTCATTTTTTAAAAATTTTTAAACTGGTACAGTGGCTCTTAGAAGTGAAAGAATGTGTTCGTTTTAATAGGAAGTATCCAAGGGCTTAATGTGGTGACAGATATCTGTAATCCCAGCACTCCAGAGGCTAAGGCAGGACGACCACCATGAGTTCAAGGCCCTCTGGGCTACATGAATCATCAAGGGACTTGAAATACCATCAGACCCATCAAGGGGCTCAAAACAGAAGTAGAGTCATCAAGGGACTTGCAGTGCAAGTTGGGCCATCAAGAAGTTCAACTACATGGCCAGTGGAACTTTGCTTAGGGAAATTCTGCCAGTACTTCACAGGAGCTAAAGGACTAGGGCCCAAGTCAAGCCAATGGGAAACCTCTTAGACTGTGCCACCATTTGGATTTCACTGACTTCACAACTAGGCCATATTCCTGATGAGTGGTAAAGACTGGTCCTGACATTCTAATACAGGAACAGCTTATTTATCATTGCGATATGATTTGGGTTTAGTATTAACTGTGGGTATAGGATGGTACTTGATTTTTTAAGATATTTATTTATTTATTTATTTATTTATTTGGGTTTTTGGGGATAGGGTCTCACTATGAAGTTGAGACTGACCTGGAACTTACTATGTAGCACATGCAGAGATCCTCCTGCCTTAGCCTCCGAAGTGCTGGGGTTACAGGCGTGGGCCACCATGCCCAGTTTAGCGTGGTACTTTAAATTATGAGACTATTCTCCAGTTATAGTGTTTCTGCTTAAAACATACAAGGGAAATTAAATATCTTATATCCAGGCTTTTGTGACTCTATTAAAGGAAATGCTCAGGAGCTATGGGGTTTAGAGTGGCCTCCGAGGAGGAGAAAGATATTCTCAATGACCCTGTCCATCCTGAGAGCCCCACTTGTCTCTGAGGGGTATATGGATCTCTCTGATCTGTTTGATGATACTGGCTTTCTTCTATCTCTTCCTTATAGTCTCCAGACCAATAAATCAGGATCCCTTTTCAGTTACAGGTGTATAAGAAGCTAGGAACTATGTAAATGAACAGTGTGCTTTAAAAAGGGAAAGAAACCATCCTGGAAAGGTTATTCATTCTTCTACAGAACTAAACAGAGTGTAATACTAATAAGAAAGTAAGAATACTAATGAGGGAGTAAGAATAATGTCTGATATGCTAGCTGCTCTTACCAGGGAGATAAAGAAGCATATTGAGGAAGGGAGAAGGGTGTAAAGGGAGGGCTGGGGCACGGGAAAAAAATGAGAACCAAGACCTGTCATGTAAAGGTACAAGATCAGAATGATGAATGTAACCGTACTGTATACCTAAAATTACCAATAAACTCATTGAGGAAAAAAACAAAAATAAACAAAAAAAAAGAAGCATATTGAGTCTTTTGTAAATAACTAATATAGATCCATTTTCCAGGAAGGGAGAAGCACTACTGAGACATCATTTCATCAGTCAACCAGCCCAAGATATTTGGCATAAGCTACAAAAACCGCAGATGGGGCCACAGATATATGGCCCAATTGTTGGACACGGCCTTTACTGTGTTCAACAATCGGGACCCAGAGGAAGGATAGGAGAGGAAGGGTAAGATTATAGCCATTACAACTGGCAATGCTTTAAACCCACCTAGATTGTCTAGGGAAAAACCCAGAGACAACTGGGCAAAGACTTGCTATTTCAAGTATAAGTGGACCAGACACAGGGCACGAGACTGCACTGAGCTCTGTATGTGAAGGATCTAATGTGTCTGACTCATGGCACTGGAGGGAGTGATTATCCCTGCTCCCAGAGAGGGTGAGACCAGCCAGAAACTTCATTTCTCCTCCTCTGATGACTGAAGAGGACCTGAGGATCTGCAGTACCCCTGTTCACCAACATCACCATCTCTTGCAAGGAACCCTGCGTAATCTTAGTTGTCATGGGTTTGGGGTATTTTGTCTCAGCAATAAGAAAAATAACTAAGATAGATTTTGATACCAGAAGTGGTATTGCTACTATGACTGTACCTGAGCATGTGGTTCAGGAGCCTTTGGAACCAGCTTGTACGAAATTTGGATAGGTTTGGAGATGCCAGCTGAAAAAGCAACCCTGAAATGCTTTACACTGCACTTCATGGGAGATTCTGGTCAGAGCTCAGAAAACCAGAATGCTGATAGAAATGAGGCCAGTAAAGACCAGCCTCAGGAGGCTTCTGCTGCAAAGAAGGACCTTATTGGCTGTTGGGACTCTAGGTCGTATGTTTTAAGCCGTGGTAGCAGTTTGTCTGCATTCTGTTCATGTCTAGAGACTTTGCTTGAGCATAATACTAAAGGCAGAGGGCTAATGAATCTGGCAGAAAGCTGCAGACTGCAAAGATAGAGCAGAGAAGAATTTGGTTGCGGGAAAGAAACAGGACAATAGAAAAGATGGCTTAAGGACATTACAAGAACCATCAGGATTCCACACTTTGCAGCCTCAAAGTTGCAAAGGTGAAAGACTTTGCTTTGAGAAGAAAGCCCTGGAGCAGCTTGTTCCAGAATGGCAGCAACCTAGAGAACTTGTTCTTCTGGATTTCGTTGGCAGTTCAGCAACCCAGGCCCTCTAGCTCTACCGTCAAGAGAAAAGGAGGCCTGGCTACTGTTCCAGCAGTGGCAGACCTCAGTGCTGGCTTTATCTGCATACAGAATGCTAGAGTTCTGAGGTCAGGAAGGGGTCCACCCAGATTTCACAAGAAGGCCGGGGAGGCCTAGCAGTGCACTCCTGAGAGGGCAATGTGTGAAGCTGAGAATGTGAAGCTGAAGGCGCAGTGAGACCCCAGAAGGTGAAGTGAGAAGCATGGATCATCTGAGGAAAACTGCAAAGAGGGAGCAAAGCTGGCCCCAGAGAGAAGCCATGGGTGCTACAACCATTGGCAGAGCTGCAGGGGAGGACCCACACAAGCCCTTTGGAGCTCACATCTTGCCATAGATTGCACCAAATGCTGGATATGAAACCACAAGACTTAATGTTTGCCCTGCTATAGGGCAGAAGTTCTTTATAGAGCCACTTCTTCAAAGTGGACTTGGGGATTCCAAGGTAAAAGGGAAAAAAGAAAGACTAAAGACATGCACATATGAACCTTTCCATCCTTACATTAAAATCATTTTTCTTGGGCTAGGGATGTAGCTCAGTGGCATCATGCCTGCATGACAAGGGTAAGGTCCTGAGTTCAATTCCCACTATCAAAACAAAAATAATAAAATGATTTTTTAAAAAAGATGTTTTCATAAAGACAGTTGTTTCAGTGAATCCAGGCATTGGAAAGACAACTGATTTGTAGAAATAGAGCTGCCTGACTGTCTCAGAGTCGGACTCCATTTTACTCTTTCTTTCTAGTCTGTCTTTTACCAGTTTCTGTGTCTTTGCTGGCCTGGGTTTTGTGTCTTCATATCAAGCTGTGCCTCCCCGCTCCCTGTGTCTTTTCTTGCTATCTCCTTTCTCTCTCTCCCACTCCCTTTCCTCACTTTCTCTCTGTCTCCTGCTCACAGTCTGTTGGTGTCTCTCCTCTCTCTTGCCTTCCTCTTTCTTTTCAGTCTTCTTCTCTATTCTGTCTTTTACTTCTGCATCCTCTGTCTCCGTCTGCTTTCCTTTTCTCACCTTCCCTCCTGGCCACCCTTCTCCTCTCTGACAGTCTGACCCTCCCTTTCTTTTGTCATTCTTAACTCTTAATCTTGTATCTTTCCTTGTTGTCTTTAATCTTTCTTGTGTTGTTCATTTGTCTCTCTGACTGCTTCTTTGCATCTTCAAGAAACAGAAAATGCCTGCATCCTGTTCCTATATTATTTTTTTAGTTTTTGATGTTCCCTGAGTAAAAGTATCCATATAGATATATATTTTAACCCAATCATCTTTGCTACATATATGTTTTAACAGCTTCAGGAATAAGTTATAATCCCTTTCCATAAAAAAGTAAAATAATATACAAGAAATTAAACAAATGATGGAAGCAGAATACTTTTTTTAGCAATTAACAAAGATCACCAAAACACTGTTGTTCAATTCAGCATTCTGATTAGCTTCTCTTTCCAAATGAAGTTATTTCACCAAAATATTCTCATATGGTTGTTATGCACCATAGAGTTCTCTTGAGAGTTGACTGATTTATCTCAAGCCAGAAATTCTTTAGTTTCTTTTAAGCAGATTGAAGATTCAATTAGTATTATACATGATGTAGTCTACTAACTTTAAATTATGGTTTTACTATTATAATTATGTATTTATTTCTGCTATTTAATCTCCTATTTTATAAACATTTATAGAGAACAAATTCTCATTTTCCTAATAAGAAATGTGGAGGCCTGGTAACAAGTACTCCATCTTCAAAGACTGGTGATTTTGTGGTAAGTATTAGCATTTGGCACTTTTAGTAATTTTTGGCTCCTCCTCACCTCATTCTTGTGTTTTTCTCATACCAAGGGAATATTTCCTGTGGATGATAATATCTTTTCTGTTACACATACTTTCATTAGACATACCCTATATGCTACTATTCTTGTAAATGTGTATGAAAAGAATAGTGAAACACCAAGTAGGGTTCTTCTTTTTTATTATAAAAGATATATAACATAAAATTTAGACTTTTAGCTATGTTTAAATGAACAGTTTGAGTACATTCGCAACTGTGGTATATTCATCACCACCATCTATCTCTAGAATTTTTTTCATCTTGCAAAACTGAAACTCCACACCTGTGAAACAATAACCCCCCTATTCTTTCTTTTCCCTGCCTCTGGAAATTACTATTCTTTCTGTCTCTATAAATTTGACTATTCTAGGTATTTTGTGGAATAGGTGGAATCATCACTACTTGTTTGTTTGTTAGTTTTTGGAGACAGGGCCTCATATGTTACGTAGGCTGCACTTGAACTCCTGGGCTCAGGTGATTCTGTGGCCATAGCCTCCTGAGAAGCTAAGATTACAGGTGCATGCCATCCTGCTTGGCAGTATTTATCCTTTGCAGAAGACTTACCTCACTTAGCATAATGTTTTCAGGTCCAGCTATTTGGTAGCATGTGTCAGAATTTACTCCCTTTCTATGACTGAATAATATCCATGTTATGTGTATACCATATTTTATTTATTTATCCATCCATAGACACTTGTGTTTCCACATTTAGCTCTAGTTAATAGTGCTGCAGTAAACACGAATGAACAAATATCTGAATCTTTGTTTTCAATTCCTTGGGAGTATATGTCCAGAAGTGGAATTTCTAGATCATATGGTCACCCCATTTTTAATTTTTTGAAGACTGTAACCTGTTTTCATGGTGGCTGCATCATTTTGGATCCCACTAGTGATACACAAGGTTCCGGTCTTTCTCCACATCTCCCCATACTTATTATTTTCTGTTTTTTTAATAGCTGCATTATTAGATACATGGTTTGCAAATATTTTCTCCCATTCCGTGGGATGCTTTTTTATTGTCATAGGATTCTTTCATATACAAATGTTTTTCATTTGATGTAGTTCAAATCTCTTTGCCTGTGGTATCATATCCAAGAAATCGTTGCCGAATCCAAGGCTGTGAAGTCTTTACACTTAATTCTGAGAATTTTATTATTTAAATTCTTACCCAGCCACTTCTTGGGTTCAGTTGATCAACAGGAATACATCTTTCTAGCAGGGTGGCAGCAGGTGTTTATCTTCAGTGATAGCAGCGCTAACAGAAGCCATCCGCCGCTTACATAGCAGTAGGTAGGTAGCCCAGGTGCAACAAGGAGTGAGATGCAGTGTCTTTTGTAACAGCGCATATGCTCAGCTCCCCAGGGCTCAACAGACATGCCTGATTGCAAGGGTCCCTGCTCCCAGAGAACCCAAATAAGACATGTTTGATAGTGTTTATTTATTTGTACTGCGTTTGTTTATCCCAGAGATAAGTTGTCTGCTCAGACCTTATTTTACCATAAGCATTGTTACTGAGTAACAGAGTTAACGTTTTTGTGATTACCAGGTCCCTTGGGGAGCATAGTTAACAGTTATCCAATCAAAAATATCTTTGGAAAAATTACCTTCATATATTTTTGGTCTCTTTTTTTCTTTCTTTCTTTTTTGGCACCAGGAATCAAACTCAGGGTTTCTCACTTGCCAGGCAGGTGCTGTGCCACTGAGCTGCATCCCTGGCCCAATATATCTGTAATTATATTCATTCAGATGAAATTGCTCATGTGTCAAGTTCACAAGAATATACTTTCAGTGGGACAGTGTTTTCAACTTTAATTATTTAATTGTTTTTGAAACTTCTACCAAAGAGTAATATATTCTTTTATAGATTGATTTGTCCTCAGTGCAGAAAGCATCTTGTGAAGAACTACTTCCAAATGTCAGCAATTATATTAATTCAAATGAAATTTTTCCTGTATCACATTGGCAAGAAAATTCTCCAAAAGAGGTAGCATTTTTAATTTTTCCTTCAGTTACTAAAAGAAATAATTGTTATTTTTAATTTTCATGAAGTTCAATTTAAAATTTTGTAGCTTATGCAACTGAGTATTTTATGTGAAAACCTATTGCCAAATCAAATGTCATGAAGCTTTTGCCCTGTTGTCATGAAAGGATTTTGTTCTTTTAGGTCTTATATTTAGGTCTCTAATCCAATCTGAGTTAATTTTTGTCTATGATGTTAGGTAAAGGTCTAACTTTACTCTTTTACATGTGGATTTACAGTTTTATTAGTACCCTTTATTAAAGAGAGAATATCTTTTCTCCCTGGAGTATACTTGGATCCTGTCAAAAAGAATTTAAAAATATATATAAGGCTTATTTCCACTGTATTCCATATATGTCTGTCTTTGTACCAGTATCATATATATCATTTAGCTTTGTAGTATGCTTTGAAATCAGACAATTGAGTCTTTCAGCTTTGTAGTTCTTTTCAAGATTGTTTTTGCTATTTGGTATCCATTGAGATTCTATATGAATTTTAGGATGGGTTTTATATTTCTACAAAAAACGCCATTGGGATTTTATAGGAACTGCATTAATCCTTAGATCACTTTGGGTAGTAATGACATTTTAATAATATTAAGCCCTGCAGTCTATGAACATAGGATGTGTTTCCATTTATTTATGTCTTCTTTAATTTCAGCAGTATTTTTTAGTTTTCATTGAAAAGTCTTTTACTTCTTTGGCAATTCCTAAGTATTAATTTTGGTGCTATTATAAATGGAATTATTTTTGTAATTCCTTTCCAGTTTGTTCATTGTTAATATGTAAAAATGCAACTGATTTTTTTTGTGGTCTTTGTAACGTGATATGTTGATGAATTTGTTCATCACCTATTTCTTAAAAATTTTCAGCACCTATTTCTTAAAATGTCTTTTCTGTTATTTCTCTGTGAGTCTTTTTGTTTTGATTTGTTTTTTGTACCAGGGATTGAACTCGGGTCCTTCTATTTGAGAGACAGGCAGTGGCACCACTAAGCTAAATCCCTGGCCCTTCTAGCAGTTTTTTTAAATGGAATCTTTGGAGTTTTCTACATGTAAAATCATATAATCTGTGAATAAATAAATGTATAAATGTAATAAACCTCACAAAACATTGCTGTTATTTGAATTTGAATATGAAAAATAGTTGTGTTTCAGTAATCATGTTTCCAGTGTACTTTTTCCTTTGTGTAGATAGAGATTTACATCTAGTATTATTTTTCATTCTGCCTAAGAGACTTCCTTTAATTAACCCTTCTTAGTTTGAGTCTGCTAAGTATTAAATGTTTATTGTGGTTTTTCAGATTAAAACAGTTTTATTCTTTTTTTTTTTTTTTTCTTTTCTTTTTTTCTGATACCAGGGATCAAACTCAGGACCTTGTGCATGCCAGGCAGGTACAGCACCACTGAGCTGAATCCCTGGACCTAAAACAGTTTTATTTTTTTATTTTTTTGGTTTTTTTTGAGACAGGGTCTCACTATGTAGTTGAGACTGACCTGGAACTCACTATGTAGCCCAGGCTGGTCTCTAACTCACAGGGATCCTACTGCCTCAGCCTCCTGAGTACTGGGATTACAGGCATGCACCACCACACCCAGCTTAAAACAGTTTTATTCTTGACCTCAGTTCTGATAGTTTTGCTAGACTTATTAGTTTTTTTCTTTTAATACTTAAAAAATGTTGTCCTAAGTTTTTCTTGTTTGCATTGTTTATGACAAGAAGTTTAGAATCATCCTTATCTTTGGTCGTATGTATATAACATGTTTTTATTCTGTTTACTTTTCTATTTTGTATTTTTCAGCAATTTTGGTAATTTGATTATTATGTATCTTAGTATATTTTCTTCATTCTTTTGTGCTTCACTTTTGTTGTTGTTTGTGGTTTTTGGTTTTTCTTGGTATTGAAGATCAAACTTGGGACTTTGTGCTTGTGAGGCAGGCGACGGAACCCCTTAGCTAAATCCCTGGCCCTGTGCTTCAGTTTTTTAAGCTACTAGAAGCTGTTGTATTTTTAGTGATAGTAAAGTTTAGGAAGTTTTCAGTACCTATTTCTTAAAATATCTTTTCTGTTATTCTTCCTTTCTTCTGGTAACTCCAATTACCCATATATTATCCCATAGTGCAAAGATGTTGTTTTCATTAAATTTTTGTAAAGCCTTTTAAAATTATATTTCATACTGGGTAGTTTCTATATCTTATAGTTCACAAATAATTTCTTCTGTTGTGTCTAACATGCTATGAATCCCATCCAGTGTATTTTTCATCTCAGATATTATAGTTTTCATACCCAGAAATTCATTTCAAACAATTTTTTGTTTTTCATGCTTCTGTTTAGCTTTTTCAGATATATAGAGTACAGTTAATTAGTTGTTTTCATGTCCTTTTCTGCTAAATCTATTATCTATGCCTGCTTTCAGTTCAGATATTAACTGATTTTTGTTTCCTCCTTCTTTGCCTGTCTGATAATCTTTTATTGAATGCTAGGAATTAGTGGATAATTTTGTATTTGTATTGTATCTTTATGAGCTTTGTTCTGTGAAATATACATAAGTTACTTGAAAACTATTTGATTCTTATAGTCTGGCTTTTAAGATTTACTAGTCAAGTCTGAAGGAAGTAGTTCAATGTATGATAATTGCTACCCATTATGGAAGTATGGCCTTCCTGGGTATTCAACTCTGTATTTTATAAATTATGAGGTTTCCTAATCTGGCTGGTGAGAACAGATCCAGTTCCCAGTTCTATGTAAGTACCAGCAGTATTCTTCCTAATTTTTCAGATGGTTCTTTCCCTGCCCTTGGGTGTTTCCATTACACGCATGTCCTGATCAAGGCTCTGCTGAATACTGAAAGGAGATCCTCTGCACATTGCTGAGTTTCTCTCTCTTCTCAGCTCTTTTTTTCTTGGTATTTCAACCTATAATCAAAGCTGCCTTTGTTTACCTGGCCTCTCAGCTCCATTTCCTCAAGTCAGGGAATCTCCTAGACCGTGCTTTAATTCTTCCTCCATACACTACAGCCATGAAATTCTCTCAAGGCAGCAAGTTGAACAGTTGTAAGGTTTACGTTATTTTCAACTCTTAGAGACTATTGTCCTTCACTTTCTGATGTTTGGTCTCTTGAAAATTGTTGTTTCTTGTATTTTGTCTGGTTTATTTTGGTTATTTCAAGGAAAAGGGTAAATATAGTCCCTTTAATTCCATCTTAGTAGAAGAAGTTTTTGAATACGTTACATTTTTCAGTAACCTTCAGTAGTAATAAACATAAGAAGAGAGTTGTCTTGATTCATAGTTGGATTTTGGCTGCAGGTTAGGTTGGGAGGACATAGAAGTAAAACAATTGAGTCTTTTTGGGGGGAATAGTTAATGAACACAGAATCTACATTGGAGAGAGAAGGGAGGGTAGGAAAGAGAACTGAAATGTACAGAGATTAATACTTATGAGATCATAGAACAGGTGAGGGAGTTGAGGAACAGAGTGAGAAAGCTACAAAGATCAGAGATGGAAATAATTCTATTTTATTTTCCTAATTTAAAGCAAAACCCAGACTTCAGCCATGGGAAGGACTAGCTCAAGAAAATGCAGCAAAACAACACAAATATAAACAGAGGCAAAGATGCTTGAGGATAGAAGTGCAGAAGGAAAATTTTTAAGTGAGATAAATTTTACTTACCTCCACAGTCCTGATTTGATGGACCTCCAACGAGAAACAGATTGTAAGAGATGAGTTGATTTTTATTTTCTTCATCATAACATATTCACAAAAAGATATTCACCTCTGTTCATCATGTTTTTCTGCCACTTATTGCATTTTTTTATTTTGGCAATATTTTTAATACTCACGAATTTTCTTATATTTCAGTTATACAACAGCCTGTTTTTTATGACATAATATTGTATTTCTGTGGGTACTAATTTGTGACTCAGAATAATTCTCTGGCTTCATCTTCATATTTTGGTTTCATCTTTTGAGCTTCATGAATCTGGCTATCTATATCCCTCTCAGATTTGGGAAGCTTTCAGGCAATTTCTTTAAATGTCTGTCATTCTCTCTCTCATCCTCTGGGACTCCAATAATGCATGTATTCATGTGGTTGATGATGTTGCATAGGTCTCTCATAGTATCTTCACTCTTAAGTTTCTCTTTTTGTTCCTCTAATTAGATAATTTCAAATAACCTCTCTATAAGTTCACTAATTCTTTTGCATGATTAAATCTACTGTTGAAGCTCTATATTGAATTCCTCAGCTCTGTTTTTTGTTTGCTTTGATTTTCTTCAGCTCCAGGATTCCTCTTTGGTTCTTTTTTATGGTTTCTATTTCTTTGTTAAACTTTTTGTTTTGTTCATTTGTTATTTTCCTAAATTTTTTAGTTGTTTATCTGTGTTATCTTGTACTTCATTGAGCTTCTTTAAGATAAACTTGGAATTCTTTTTCAGGCATTTCTTCGATCTCTGTTTGGAATCAATGGTTGCAGATATATTAGTTTCCTTTGATAGTGTCATGTTTGCCTGATTCTTTGTTATCTCTGTAACTTTGCCCTCGTATCTCTGCTTAAAGGATCCCAAGAAAGATGAACCTAAAGAATTCCCCAGACACATTATAATTAAATTATCAAATAAAATAATATTAAAGGGAATAAGAGAAACCAGACTCTTTATATCCAAAGCAATCCTCTCAGGCAAATCAGTGGACTTCTCAGTAGAAATTTTGCAAGCCAGGAGGGAGCTGGATGATGTAAAGTGCTGAAAGAAAATGTAATTGCCTATTAAGAGTACTGTACCTGACAAAGCTGGTATAGGAAGACAGATGAAGACGTTCCCAGATAACAAAAGCTGAGAGAGTTCTTCACCTTAAGACTTATCTTGTGAGAAGTGTAAAATAGAATTCCTCAGGTTAAAATGAAAGGATATTAAATAACAGCATGAAAACAATAAAATATAAAACAGAATGGTAAAGTCAGAATAG